GCTGGTAAATTGACTACAAAGCTTTGCTAAATTACGTCTTCTATTTTGAATATTTTGGTTTTCTTATTGAAAAACAAAGAAATTTGTTAAATTATAAATTTTAATAAAATTTACTATAAAAATAGAATGAAAGATAAAAAGAAAGAAAAAAAAGAAAAAAAAAGAAAAAAGTTGTTACTCATATCATGGGAAAATTTCACAAATTAGGATGGATCCAGCATGAAGGTAAACCCATTAATTGTATTGACGTTAATCCAAATAAGACAAAAATAATCACTGGTGGTGGTGATGGATATGTTAAAGTATGGAATGCGTCAGCATTAAGTGATATTTCAAAACAACCAAAACTTTTTTCAAGTATTTTTGTTGATAAAAGTGTTAATTGTTGTAGATATTCATTTGATGGAGAGTTAATAGCTGCAGCAAGTGCAACAGGGAAAGTTGGTATTTTCCGACTTATTCGTGTATCAACTGAACCAATTTATGATGAAAAAGGAAATATCTCATTTGAAGAATATGAGATGGTTGATGGTTTTGATTTTGGTAATGAGGTTATGGATATAAGTTGGTCTCCTAAAGGAGAATATTTGGCTGTTGTGACTTTAAAAGGAAATGTCATCATTTGGACACTCTTTGATGAGGCACATTCAACAACAATGTTAGAGGAAAGTCATCAATGTGCTCAAGGAGTTTCATGGGATCCATTGGGTCAATACATTGCAATTCAATGCTCAGATAATTTTGAGTTATGGAAAGTTAATCCGTATCAAAAAATAAAAGAATTTCCAATAAAGACTTTAGATGTACCGAATCATTGGAGAAGACCTTCATGGAGTGATGATGGTTCAATGGTTGTTGGATATAATACATCAAGAAATCTTCCTTGCTTAATGGTTTTGAAAAGACATTCACTTGACCAAATGATTTTATTAACAGGAAAGGGAAGAGGTAGATGTGCCGTAAGGATATGTTCAAGAGGATATCATCTTTCAGATGAAAAGAAAACTAAAGTTTATAAATTGATCATGGCGGTTGGGGATGATAAAGTTTGTTTTTGGACGACAAAAGGAACTGGTAAAGGACTTGATGAAATTCGTGGAGGGACTATTGGAAAATATGAAGACTGTGTATGGGTTAATAAAATGGCTATTATAGTTGGAACAGAAGGGACTGTAGATGTTATTGAATTGAATGAACAAGAAGGTGAAGGTGAATTACTTACTCCGAGTCAACAAAATACAATACTCTATAAACAAACAGAATTGATCAGAGAAACAAAAAATGATAGAACACAACCTCCACCTGATATTGAAAGTGAATATCCTTTAATAAAACAGACATTACAAATCAAGAAAAGGCAAAATGGAGATCGTATTCTCCTTCAAGTAGAGCCTGGTGGGGTATGTGATGAATTAATCTGTGTTAATGAAAAGTCTAGCATTGTCGAATGGAGAACATTACTTCAAGATAAAATTAAATTTCTTAAAAGTAGTGGAAAAAGAACAGTTATAGTGTTGAGGAATAACAATATTATAATGATAGATAATAGATGTGGTTCTCTTAAAGTTCCTCTTAAGGTTCAAAATGAAGAATTTTATAATTTATTCTTTTCAAAGAAATATGTATGTTTGTTGAAAGGGAAAGACAGAGTTATTATTTTAGATAAACATTTAGAATTTGTTCAAGAAATTAATATATCAAATGTTCTTGAAAAGACTGATAAAAGAAAAATTATAGGATTACAGTACTATGATGAAAGTAATAGTTTATTAATTCAATTTGAAGAAAAAGTTGAGTTTATAATAAGAGAAAGCCATGATGTTATCATGATTCAACAAGGTTTGAAAAATTTAACAGAAGAACAAATGATTTCAGAACTAGAGTGCAGTCTTTTAACATTGCCTATGATATGGAATGAAAACAGGTTTAAAGAAACTATTGAAACATACGTTTCAATAATTCAAAAAAATCTTGACTATAATCGTTTAAGGAACTGTTTAAGAGTTATTGAAAAAATTAAATTAAAAGAAAAAACTAATTTATCATTACTTGAAGAATGGTCAGAAAAAATACAAAAGTCATTGTTGTCATATTCTCAAAATAACTAAATTATTCAATCATTAATAATTTTTTTTTTGATTTTTTTATAATAATTTATTTATAAAAAATACTAAATATTTAAACATGAATGATATTTCAAAGAAAGAATAAAATAAAACTTATAGATCTTCTCTTTTAATCTGCTTATACTAAGAGGTATGAAAGGCATTATTAGTAAGAAACTACTTTCATACTTAAACAAAAAAGGTAACAAAGAAGAGAAACCTTTTGGTATTGAGCTAGACAAAATACCCGATGACTATTTAAAAGATGGCTTTCCTTTCTTTTTTATAGGCATGAGTGAGTATATACTAAACCGTTTGTTTTTTATGTTTATAAAGACTATACTAATTTAATAGACCAATGTATTGGGGTAATAAGAACTCCTGGTGACTATGATTTAGTCTCTAAAATAAAACATAAATTATCAAAAAAGGAGAGCTTTACAAAATTCACTGACGGTCGTGACATAACACATGAATTAACATCAGTACTATTGTCATTTGTTAAAAATTTACCATCTCCATTAATAACAAAAAATGAAATGCTAATATTTTCTAATATCCTTAAGCAAATGAATGAGGGTGATATACAAAGAACTGTTGTTGCCTTTAAATTAGAGTTAAGAAGAATAAACCCGATAAAAAGAAAGTATTTAATCTTTTTTATGAACTTCTTTTATCAAATATCACTTCAACAAGACATAAATCAAATGGGGTGCGGTTTGTTATATTTCTTTATAAAATAATTTATTAACATAAAATAATTATTATAGAAAATATTGCTTCATGTGTTTCTCCATCTTTTTTTGAATGGACAAAGGATGGTTTAGGACTTAATAATATTACTGACAAAAAAAATATCATAACAGAAATGATTAGGTTATACCCTTTAATATTTGATGTTTGTGGTTCTTTTTCAATTACAAAAAAGCTTCAAAAGACTTATCATTATAGGACTTTGAGGGTTTCATTCCAATAATAAGGTCAGACCCTTAATAAAAATTAGCTATAAAAATAAGAATAATGTTAATCAAATAGTATATAAATAATAAAATACGCTTATAATTAACTCAAATTATTTCTTTTTCAAATAAATATTAACCAACGTTACGAATAGAAATTATTTATTATTTTCTTTTTTATTCTATCTTTAATATTTTTTTTACAAAAAAATAGAATACTTTAAGGTATAAAAGTGTTAAATATAATCTAAATTAATGGGTATATTTTACAATTACTTTTTATCAAGAAAAATTCTTTTTAAAAAATAATTTTTGTTGACATATATGAAAAAGAAGTAACAATAATAAGATAACTGTTTAGTAATTTTTTGTCTTATTTTTCTTATAGTTTTAATTATTATTGTTTGTTACTCTTTAAAAAAGCTCTATATAACGTAATTTCATATTTTTGTTCGAAGATGACAAAATAATAGTCTTTGTTTCTCTTTATTTTAACACCTTCAAATTTTTTCATTATAAATTTTGTTCATTGTCAATAAATTTTTGTAGTACTATTTTAATTAAACGTATATTAAAAATTTATTGAATGAACATACCATTGTTGGCAATCATATTATTATTAGTTTTGGAATTAAAGGCTTATTCAACTATCCAGGAAAAAAGGATATTTTATACAATTTATTCAATTATAAAAATAATTAAATTATCTGAGAAATAATATATATTTATTATTTATTATTGATGTTATTCACACAGAAAATGATGAAGAATACCTTAACACT